TTACATTTCAGCTGTATAATTTATAGAAGAGTTGAAAAGAGGTTTTCTGTAGTAACGTGTCGCTTTATTCACCAAAATGGATTGTAAAATAATAACACAAGTACTTACGCACTTTCGAGAATCACAATCAATATAGTATATTTCTCTTATTCAAGCAATACTGGGTTCAAAAGCTAGAAATAAATATAAGTAAAGATGAAACAAAAGCAAAAAAAAATATTAAAAAAATGGAAAATTGTATTATAAACTTTTTTCCAAAAACAAAATCACTTTCTCGGTTGAAATATAAATTCTCCTTCTTTTATCCTTACTCTCTGTTGGTTTATTTTTTTTTAAGTAAACGCAGATTCCATGGCACTTTCATTTTTTTTTTTCTAATCCTAATTTTTTTCCTAATAATACCATCTAATTTCGTTACAGTGAATTTGCAATGCCGTTTAATTATGAACCCAGCTGATTATAGCATTTAGGCCATTATGTTGTATGTTCAATCTAAACTTCCTTCTTCTCTGAAGGGGCCAAGAGGAGGGTTAGTTTCAGTACTATCAAATGACTTTTAGAAAAATATTGAATCCCTGAGTTTTCCGTTCATTTTATATTTCTTTTATAAGAGTAGTATTTTTCAGGTTATTTGACTTTTTATACTTTCACCTACCTCCTCACGAGTTGAACACTTTTTAAAATCATTAAAATCCCTGTATCATTTTTATTTGAGGCATTTATTCATTTCAAAATTTTCTTGATTCAAATCTGTTTATTTGAAAGTAACCTTTACCCCACATCTTTGTAAGTCTCCTGCATATTCATTAACCTTCTTAAGTGATTTTAATTATAAAAAAAGAAAAGAAAAAATACTACTTTGCTTTAAGAAATATTTTTGTTCATTTATCAAAAACTCTATTTTTTCTGTGTTATTTCAAAACAAACTATGCATTTGGGTTTCAATACTTTTTTATTATTTGTAGTCGAACTTTCTGATATAACATTAAACAACAAATTCTGGCAAGTAGAATCAGTAAAAACCTTATAAAACTCCCGACTATAATAATACAGTAATTGCATTTTTTTTTACAGTAATTGCAAATATCCACTGTTAAAACTAGTTAGAAAACATACAAATGTTTTCTCATAAGACGGTTAATTAAGATCTCTCTGCATTAAGAAATAGCTTAATTTTTAATGAATTTAAAAGTTGGGAGCTTTGATCTGATTTTAACCATCCACAAAAAAATAACTACAGTGATGTGTAAATTTAGAAACGCTGGAACAATACAAAATCGAATTCCTGGTATTCGAATTCTAAGTACTAAATTTGTGAAAAAAGAACAGTTTGCTAAAACGCCTTCAATTGTATTATGCACAAAATGGCTTTTGAATGCTAAAACAAGTCTTTGATTTTGTTATAACTATCATAATCTTCTTCAAAACATTAAATTCGCATTATGTTTAATTTTAAGCAAAATAATTCTAAGCAAAAAAATTCTAAAATTCTCTGCTGCTCTAAACAGAAATTAAAAATTTTATGAATAAGGTATCATTTTCATTTTTACAAGGATTAATAAACAAATACTCAAAATAAATAAATAAATGAAAAAAAGGCATACCATATTTACTGCATCTCTAAGAGAAACAAAAAAATAAAATAAAACATTTTAACAAGTTAAAAATAAGCCTTTATAAAGCATGTTTATTACATTCCAAAACTAATAAGATTACATAATTGATATTAGCATATTGATTAGAATATTGCATTTGGAATTGATAACACTCAATTAATTGTAGATAAATGTGCTAGATTATTTGTGTTTTCCATTTTTTCAATTAAAATAAATTTTATTAAAGTTAAATAAAAAAATTCAAATTTCTCAGTGACTAATTCGTATTCAAACAGATTCTTAATAAAATCCTAACAAATGTTATAATCTTAGCAATGATAATCACAAGTTAAAAAAACAAAAACAATAATACAATAAATAATAATTTCTTTCTAACATTTTGAGCAATATTATTTCATCAATATTTTGAGATTTTTCACAAAAAGGAAAAAATAATAATAAAAATTTACAGCAAAATAACACTTTTATTGCTATAAATCTTACGGATAATCTTTCAATATAATAATACAAAGAAATTGATACTTTGTATTTTAAGTTTCCTGCCTAAAACAGCATTAACCATGTTAATTTTAAAAAAAAGCTTTGGGGAATTCCTCGAAGTTGTGGTGCCTACAAAGCGACACCAAGTGATAAAAGGGTTGACAGGTATGTAACATACAATCAATGATTATGTACTAATTATACTTTAATTAATATTGCTACATGTAAATGTAATTAAAAATATATATAATAATTTTTAAGGATTTTATATTCCTGAAAAAGCATACAAAGTTAATAATTTATTGCATGCAGAACATTTAAAAATTTGCATTTCCTGTTCTTTTATTATGTTTCAAACAAAAATAATACAAAGAAATTATATTTTAGACAAGAATAACATAACAAGATTTTGACAAATATTAATTTAATTGAGCAAATTAAGAGCAATAAAAATGCAATCACACTAATTTAAATGGCAACACAAATATTCAAAAATAAATCATGGAATAAAATAGACTATCACAATTCTATGCAAATGGCAGTGATTTGTTCATTTTCAGTAATTAAGAAAAAATAGTCCAAGTAAAATAAGCTTATAGTATAAAATACTTATTTAAAACCAACATAAACACACAAGAAAATAGGAATAGTTTAAATGTACAGGAAAAATTAGAAACAATATAAGTTCATGTTACTTACAGATTTTTGAGGGGGTCAAAACGAAAATAAGTTAAAATAGTTCTTAAAATGACACGCCTAGAAAAAATTTTAAAATAATTTCTTTCCTGAGCTAAATATGCCGAAATTGAAAATTTTTTAATTTCTTAGTTTCTTTTTAAATTAGCCAAATTTAAATCAATAAAAAAATTTTTAGAAAATATTACGGAACAACATGTATTCTCTATATTTGATGCAAGAAATAATTTATACAGAAAATAAAATTTTTTGAATTAAAAATTTCAACTTTTATTGATTCACAAGAAACAGCATATGGTTATATATGGAATAGCACACCAGATAAATGACTTAATCCAGTTTGCTGACACAATACACATTTTTACAGAAATTTTCCGTGACCATTTTACACATATTAGGCTGGAAACCATAGATACAGCAATAAACTCCCACTTTAAAGGCAAGTATAGTTATGGGCTTCTTGGCATATACCCTAGATCTTTTTTAAAAAGAAATCATACAACAGGGTTGAATTTCATGATCTAGGCAATTTGACCACCAATGCGGAACATTTTATGAGCAAAGAATGACTCTAAATATTTCCCAACAATGAAAGGGCATTATTCTATAGAGTATTGCTCCATTATGTAATAACGCTGAACAGCCACCTGTCTCATTTTGTCTGTATACAACACATTAATGCACAACAAGCACAAAATTCAAATCTTGAAAAAATTCATGAACAATCCTTAAATAAATACCCAAAATAAAGAACTATTTAAAAAAATAATTTGGTACTTGGGAATAGAAATTAAAATGTATAATAGGTTTCCTTAAAATAATCTATTCGGATTCAATAGATAAATTTATGGATGCATGCATACAAAAAAAATTTTTTTTTAATTAATTCAAAAAAGTAGTAAGAAATAAGGAATTTACTTTTTCTTAAATTCGTTAGTGAATATATTAAAATAAAGCATTACTGCAACAGCTCGTTGTGAGCCAGACAGTCATGAGATTAAGGCTCTACAATTTTGTAACAATCATGAGTGTGGCAAGGTGGTCAACATTGCATACACAAGAAACCTTCACTTCTAAGAAACAAGCTGATACCCATCAATCTGGAGCGGGGTGGACTTCAAACTGCCGCTGACGCTCAAATCTCAGTAATAATTTTAAAGAAAACATGCATATTTAATTTTAAATATACACTTATAAACATTTTGAATGATTCTTTAGTAATTTAAAATGCTTATACTTGTGTCTATGTATATTTTTTGTTCCATGAATAGACTTAACATTTTATCTTAAACATGCTTTTAAGGTTATCCAGTTAGATATTCCTCAAATGCAGTGAAAAAAGGTAAAAAGAAACGCAAAAAAAAAGCAATATATAACCAAATACCAAAATGTTAAAGCAATATATAACCAAATACCAAAATGTTAAAGCAATATAATACCAAAATGTTAAAACTTGCAGGCAAACTTTATTAAGAAAAACTAAAATAGCAGTTTTAAAGATTTACGGAAGCACTAAGAATAGTGCAAAATGCAGATGAGAAAAATTTTAAAGGAAAAAAAAATTACAAAAGAGCAGTAACAAGTAAATAAAACAAAGATATTGGGAAATAAAACACATAAAGTATTCTATATTGCATTGTACATGGAAGATGATGCTCCTTTGTGTCATTAAAACTTGTATGTTACTTTAATATAATTTATTTCTGAATTTTACTTTGTTTTTGTTCTTTACTACCATCATAACAAAGTTTACATCCTCCTTAATACAGACATTCATGCCAATCTTGGATAGTGCAGTATATTAATAAAAAAAATTATTAAAAACTTATGCAAATTGTTTTAGTAACAGAAACAATCAGTTTAGCACTAGTCTATAAGAAGACTTAAACATCAAAGTAATTTTTCAACTATATCAGTTAGAAAAAAAAAACTACGTTTAAAAAGCTCAAATAATGCTTAAAACAAAACATCAACAGTCATGCCTTAAAAATACGTAAAGCCAAAAAACAACAAGCAAAATTTTAAAATGATATCACCAGAAATTTTTTCCAAATTACTGGATTAATAAATTACTGGAATTTTTTTCCAAACATTACTTTATGTTACACTTATTAAGCACTTTTTGAAGAAAAAAAAAGAAAACTATTTTTTAATAAGTACAACACATTTGAAACAGAAAATAAATTATCACTTTATAAATAGATCACAGAAAATGTATTATTAAACTGTCATATAATAATGAATACAGTGGACAATTAAACATATTGAGAAATTTTAGAGATTAAAAATATGCATTCTACATATATTTCTTTGAGCAAACAGCATTTAGCTAAATTTACAGTCAATCAAAATATTGTACTTAAATATAATTTTTAAAGTAAAATAAGTAAAACATTTATTTAAAACCACATGAAACATCTACTCAGGTCAAAATAAAGTTAATAAATATTGTTTACAGTATGACAAGTCAAGAAAACAGAAACTAGTGTATTAAAAAAATGTGGTATCTAATTGTTTCACGGTTAAAATAAATGTGCTTACATTAAACATTTTCAAATATACATAAATATATATTTTTTACAGCTTAATTGATGCGCCTAAGAAATATTGTGATTTATCAGTCGGTTTCTTAAATATCATCAGTGCATTTTCTACTTTGTGACACAAAATGCAAAATAGTAATCCTCCATCAATTTATTTAACCAACTTCAACTGTTTTCTTGTTTAGTAAGGAAAAACAGATTTCAGTAAGAATAAAGAATGTTGTAGTTTTTGATTCACTAAAAAGTTCAAAATAGGTGCAATTGTATACTGAAAAATAAAATAAAAATAATATTAAATTTATATCATTAATTTCAAAAAGTAAATAAATAAGGTACTTATCTTAAATAAGTACCACATTTTTAAGTTCAACTCTATATACTAACTTAATATTAACAATTCATATATACTAACTTAATAAGCAATTTTAGTATCAATATCTTCTTTTTTTATAACAGTCGTTGAACAGCCAACCCAATTTTGAGTTTACAGCTACCAATGTTCAACTCTTGTAATTTTGAACCCAATCCAGGAGACAAGGAAACTCCTGAATCAGTACCCCCCAAAGGTATTATTTGTTATGGCAACATGGAGGACTTTGTGAACCAACAGATTTAACGTGCACCACTCACCATTTACTACACAAGGAGTCTTCGGCTGTCAGGGATCGAACCCACAACCTCTTGGACATGGGCCCAGTGCACTATGAACCAGGCTATCCCCGTCTTAGTATCAATATAATAATTATTACTATTTATAAACTTGCATTACATACAATGTGCAAATTAAAAAGCGAAAACTTTTTATAACTATTATTTAATAGCCACTATCTTGAAAATATGATCAAATAGTTTAGTCAAGAAAGTAGTAGACAGTTCAGGCTATTCAATGTTGATTTTACTTTTTGTCTATTTCCCCACATTAAAGAAGACATAGTTTTAAACCTCTATTTCTCACAAAGTATTTGACCAATTCCTTTAAAATTTAAAATTATATCATTTAAAATTACATAGATTTATTTTGCGTTGATTCAAAAGTTTTAGACCACTAATAACCAAAATATTAAAAAAATAATCATAAATATAATTTTTTACATGGAATTATCATTAGATAAACAAGTTTTATAGCTGCATGCAAAAATATTTGATTCTCCATTAATCTCAGTGATAATTCCATTAGTTCTAGACCAGAGATGAGACAAAATATACCAAAAGCAAAATTTGCAAAAGCGGCCCAAACTTTAGATTGCACTCTGTGCAAATGAGTGGGGCCATATTTTCTAGATTGCAGCTTTTTCCATATTATGTGAGGCTAGTATCTAAATTCAACAATAAAAGGCATATTTATTCCACAGAAAGTAAGTTTCAGTGCCTGATTTTGTAACTTAAAATATCGCTTACAGACATAAATTAACATGTTTAAAGTTGGCCTTCAAGCCATTAGGATTGAGTTCTAAAGCGTGAAAATAAAATTATTAAATCAAATGATATGATAGGTGTTTGCCATTTTTATGTGCAGTATATGCTACAGAAAAAGCAAGAATTGAAGATAAAACTAGGTTTAACCAGTTACAGTGTCCAGTCCTAGTTGATTAAAAGCTGAAAAATTTCTATGCTTGAACCTTTAATTGGCTATAACTGAATCTAACCAATTTATGCCAATGAACGTCTGAATCTTAACTCTACAATGCTCATTATACCTGGGGAATGGCACTTAGCCTTACAAAATTCCATGCAATCTGTCTTAAATTTAAAAAAAAATAAAATAAAAAAATAAAGAATATCAATATAGAAAATGAAAAAAAAAAAAAAAACAGTAAAAGGTAGTGAATTTTTTATAAAAGAAAGAAGTTTAAACATTATACTAAAGTGGATGAATTATGTATCACCTAACACACAAATTTAAACAATTGAGAGTTGTTTTACTCAATTTATAGAAATTTTTAACTTTCCTTTAATATTTAAAAACAAATTTATCATTAATATTTTATTAAAAGTTAGAGATTTAGTGATTACTATTAAAGAAAACATAATTTTTTTTTACTTTCCAAATAATAAACTGAAAGTAAATATAAGAAAATACATTTGATATAATTAATTTTGTAACAATTTAGTTCTAATTATTAAGTTTTACAAATTCATTCATTCATCCACAGCATAATTTGAAAAAATGGCTGCATTTTTTTCTACCTAATTTCATCTACTGAATTGAGTATATTTTAACAATCAAAAATTTAGAAGTCTAACAATATGTAGATGTCATAAAAAAATGAAAATCTAGAACGATGTTTTACCACTATTTTTTTTTTTTTTTTTAATATAATGTTTTACAATCCCTCCATCCTTTGAATTTATTCTGTTAGATTTCATGAACAGTTAGATTTCATTCCCATTTTCAATAGATCAATTTTGTTTAATTGTTAACATGATAAATAGTTTTCTTTTATTTCTTAACTTCTTTCTTCTTTTTTTTTATTTTTTATACTTGATAACTAATTCTGCTTAACACTTAACTTCATTTTATCCTTTTTTTAATGCTAAAATAATATGACAATAATGAAATTCAGTGAAATTAAGGTAGATATGAAGATAGTCTTCCAATAAGAAACATCTATATCAGTTTTGCAGAGCACAAAACAATGCAAACTTGCATAATAAATTAAACTTTCAACAAAATAATTTAAAACAACACAAATTATATGATCATTAGCTTATAAAAAATAATAAGCAAAAAAAACACATAACAGGAAAATCACATGATATACACCAATAAAGCATTGATTAGTGAATTTACAAATTTAAAAAAATCATACATCAAAATACTGAATATATATTAAATAAGCATAAGCAATACAATAAAAAAGAGCAATATATCAAAAAAGGAACATAGCAAAACATTAATAAACTACATAAAATTTTTGATATTAAAAAAATATTAAAAACATGGCACTAAAAATAAAATATGTAAAGATAACATACCTGGAAAAAATAACTTAATCTTCTGAAAGTAATAACTATCAACAATTTAGTTTCAGCTTCTTTTATTTTGACAAACCGAAATTCAATTCTCGGCTTTAGTAAATTTTCCCCTTCAATAGCAATAAGCTTGCCTCTATTATACTCAGTAACTTTATAGAGCATTAAATATTCACCTGAAATAGATAAAAAGTTATAAAAAAATGCATTCATATGTTTACAAAATGCTTATGCAATTTTAGAATGTAATTATAATTTTGAAATAGATAAAAAGTTATAAAAAAATGCATTCATATGTTTACAAAATGCTTATGCAATTTTAGAATGTAATTATAATTTTGATTTACAGTTAAATAAATTTTTCACAACGGCATCGTTTTTGAGTTTAGCAGTTACTAACACGCTACCTGCCACAATGTTGGAAAAAAAATATCACCCTGAGCAAAGTCATTTTTTCTGCCAATATTGCTAATAAGAAACAGGGGAATAGATGAAAAAGTTAGAAAATAAAATATTTTATGTAAGTGAGTGCAGATATTTAAATTAAAGAAAATAAAATGAAACAAAATAAAGAGTTACATTCTTTATTGTATAAGTAAAAATTGATTTTTATAACATGGAAAGAGTAACATATGTATTTATATATTTTAACTGTTGATAGAAATAGCAATAAAAGAGATCAAAATTATACCAATAAAAAGCAGCTAATTTAAATTATATCAACAACGTAAAAACTATTACATTACAAAACTAATGAAGCTTCATTTGATCATTCATTCTAATGCTTCGAATGATCATTCATTTTTATTTGAAAATAAAAAATATCCTTCAATTAAAAAAACACTAAAAAAGTTTCAGATCAAGCTATAAAAGCATTTACATTGAATATTTTAAACAACAATTTAAATCAAAATTATAATCAAGAAAAAAGAATAAAAAAAGATTATTTAATGTAAAAAAATTTTGTTACAATTTATTATTTCTCCTGATAAATATTTTGATCATATTTATCAGGAGATAGATATGGATATAAAATTTTATTACAAATTGATCATGAATTTTTCAACGGAAAAAGATCTGAATAGTTTTTATCAAACAAAAAACTGTTTGATTTTTCTTTATTTAAAATCCAGACTACTTACCATAACCAGGAATGTCATAAACTGCATATAATTTTCTGCCGATCCCCAGAGGTCTCCCATCAGCTTCTCTAACTCGGGATACAAAAGGAAACCACTGAAATATGCAATAATTTTTTCAATATTTTTAACCAGATTTTATTTTGATAAGTTCAGCATCAATTTAAAGGCATATAAATTCATTTCAATTCTTTAGAAGGATATAATTAACAATATTATCTAGTCATTATATTTAATTGCCTTCTTAGCATTGTTAATTTTCTCCCATCAGATTCTGTAACTTACGCAACAAAAGGAAACTACTTAAATATCCAATAATTATTGTTTCAATATTTTAACAATACTATTTCTAAAAAATAAGCTGGGGTTCTCCGATGAAATCTACCCGATTTAATTATTCGAAACTGAGAATAAAGGCAAAATGTTCACTCATTGTAAAAACACAAATGAGGCAAGTACACAAGGGTTCAATAACAAAACAAATTTTAATGAAAGGGTAAGTAATTTTACATCCGCCATTGGTGGTTTCCAGAATACAACTACTGAATATTAATAATGGAAGTTTAAAAATATTTTAATTAGATGGCGCTAGCTGTATCGCAACAAATATTATTAACTATATTTTATTTTGGTAAGTTCAGTTTAAATTTAAAAGAATATACATTCATTTCAATTCCTTAGTAAGATACTATAAACAATAATATCTTGTCATCATATTTAACTGTATTCTTAGCATTGTTAACTGTAATCAGTGGAACCAAACTTGAAACAGCATAAAATTATTTAGCAATTTCCATGGATCTCCCTTCAGCTTCTGTAACTTATGCAACAAAAGAAAACTACTCAAATATCCAATCATTATTATTTCAATATCATTAACTATATTTTATTTTTATAAGTTCAGCTTAAATTTAAAAGCTTTATATACATTCATTTCAATTCTTCAGATACAATTGACAACATTATATCATAGTTAATTATAATCAGCGTAACCAAGTGTAGACAGTATAAAAAATTTTGCCGATTTGCAGAGGTCCACCACACATCAGCTTCTCTAACTCATGATACAAAAGGAAACAACTGAAATATCCAATGATTAATTTTCAATATCATTAACTATATTTTATTTCGATCAGTTCATTTTAAGTTCAAAGACATTATATGCATTCATTTCATTTCTTCAGAAGGGTATAACAATGATGTCATTGGGTATTTGCAGCAAACTTTTTATCAGTTTGATGTGCAAGTTTTATTAGTTTTAAAGCAATTTTCAACAACAAATTGTTTGCTTGGAACATGTACAAATATTGTTTATTATAAATAGAGCACAAATAATTTATCACTAATATAAGCCAGAGAGAAATGATTATTGTTTCACTTTTGCCACAAAATGTAATTTTTTTAAACAAGACTTTAGAACTTTTATAAAAAAAATATCAGTCTTGAAGCAGTTGACACATACATGGAAAAATATTCTAAATAATTTTTAGCTTGGAACACATCTCATCCATGATGAATAGAAAAAGGATTGAAATGGTTAAAGAGGGTTAGAGTCATTCATAACACTGAATTAATCAATTATAATCTTATCTTAGAGATTTTTCTAGCTTTATTCATTATAAAATGTAATCTGTAGTTAATAATATAGATTTTATAACCTACTACAAATTAAACATAATGATTTTTAAAAAAAATTCCAAAATTTTAATAGATTATTTTAATTAAATTTATATAAAAAAAACTGAATAAGAAGACAGCTAAATATAATTCTTCATTGATCAAAATAGAGGAAAAATGTTTTGAAAGCATCTGGATATTATATAAATTTAGGGGTTTACTTGATAGAATTAAAAATAATAATAATAACATCAATGTCAAAATAAAAGAGTATTAGAAATTGCATTTTATGAAGGATGAAAAAATTCATACCTTATCAACATAATCCAAAGAAGTTATGAAGCTATACGTATCCTCCAATGAAGACTTAAGAGAAATAGCCTTAGATATTACCCATTTATTTTGAGTGACTTCTATTTGACAAAGAGCAGCAATGACCACAGCAATAACTATTAAAACTTTCCAAGGTAATCCCTGAAATAAAAAGCAAATAATTTAAAAAACAAATAATTTAAGAAACAAATGGTTTAAAAAGCAATATTTTAAAATGCAAATCATTTAAAATGCAAATTATATAAAATGCAATAAGATTTCATTTACCAGCAGCTGGGTTTATTTCTGATAATCAAAATATTTCAATTAAAACAGAATCTTTTGATATTTTTTTTAACAAATGAAAATTAAGGCTTTTTCTTTTAATTATAATGCTGTACAGTATCCAAGTTTAATTTCTGCTCGTTAACTTAATGTATGTTCTTTTGTCTAATGTTTAAAAAATATTTAAATTTAATTTCACTAACATAATTGTGCATATATTTAACTCCTACTAGTTCAGAGCAGCAACTAATTCTGAATCAGTAGCCGATTCCATTGATTTACATTCTTGAGAAAATTTGAAACGACGAGCAACAAAATTACAACTTCTACATTTCTAAAAAAAAAAAATTAAAGCAACAAACTACTTTAAGAAACAAAAAGCTTATTTGTTTTTAACATAAAATTATCAATTTTATGTATTCATGCACTATTGAGTATTTTTTATTATTTTGAAGGTTTTACCTGAAAAGGAAATATGACAATGTATTATTGAAATTAAGGGAGAAAAAAACCAAGTGTGCATGTGGAAAAAAAACGCTTTTCAGTTAATTTAATTTAACCGAGGTGTTCAAATTAATTAGGTTTTGGAGTACACCAAAAATCTTATACTCAATGTAAGTTGCATGAAACCTCGATAAAAAAAATTTTTAATTAAAAAATTGGTCTTAAGAAATGTCTCATAATGAAGAGAGGAATTAAAAGTATGTCTGAGAAAATCTTATTTAATAAAAATGAGTTAAAATATTCACTAGGAAAATAGTAGAAAGATTTATTGAAAATATTAAATAAATAAAATAGATACAATTTTAAGAACTCATGGTATAAAAAAATATCAAAATAAGTAACATATATAGTTTGTTTATCTTAAGAACTCCCCTCGCCTATCCTTTGAATTGTCGATGACTATAGTTACAAAATTGAACTATTTCAAGTAGATGTGTAGGGTAAACTTTTAAGGGAAAATTTTGTTATGAGTTTGCGAGAGAAGTATAAAATGTGCTCTTCTCTACAACTCTAAACTATGTGGCGAGAAGAGGTTTTTAGATAGAATATGAATTAAAGCTGAATGTTACAACTTGTACATCATATATGAAATTTATATGTAAGTACACGAGCAAAAATTTATATTAATGATTGTTTAATATAATTTTTTTTTAAATATTTTTTAATGACTAATATCTTAAAGTTGTTTCCTTTTGGGGTTAAAGTGAAGACAAATTTAAACTTCATATCATTTTCTATAAAAAATATACTAAAGTAAACTCTCAAATTCCGCTGAATATACTAAATATTTCCGTAATACAATGTTATGAACTAAAAATTTACAACAGTTGCACCTTGTAGAATCTTTTAATAAATTATATATTTTAGTGAGAAAATTTAACCTTTACTTATAACTGTCGATATTTATTACGAGGTAAATTATAATTAAAGACTATTAAAACCCGTAGTATGGTAACAAATCTCCACTTTTACATAATTACCGGTATATTTAATATACTACAAAAAGGAAAATAATAGGAAGAAAATCCCATTTGCAAATACCATTGCTCTATATAAGAAATATATAAACTGTAACAATACAAAGAACAAAATGTTTTCTTTTCTTAAAAGATACGAGGTAATATAATTTAATATAGCAAAACTTTTATTAAAACCCTTGTTTTTCTATTTGTTTATTAATTTCATGTCTTTTGTTTATTAGTTACCGTTTTTGATTGCTTGCTTTAGCTCGCTTTAAGATCTATAACTTTAAAAGAGTGTTTTGAGAATTGAGCCTAGTACTAGATTTATATCATATTAATGCAAGATGTAACATATCACATATCTAAGAAGTCTTGAGATTATAATAGCTAAATATCATTTTTCTTTCTCAAATGCGATAGTAAAACTTTCTAACAATATTTAGAAACTGAAATTAGTATTTTGTAGTTTTTTCCACGTCAGAAAATTTCGACCAATCAAATGTTTTACTTTAAGGAAACGAATTTTGATGTGGCATCATAGCGACTGGGCAGGGCTAAATACCTCAAAAATTCCGATTTCATAGCTTGCGGCAGTGATCAGTTCGAAGTCATTCATTAGTGGGATTTTGAGTTGTTTGAGTGTTTGCATTTGTTAAAATGTCTGCCGTTCAAGCTGAAGAAGCTCCTGCTACTAATACTACAGCACCTGTTGTGGATAAAGGAAAACCATCTGTTCATAAAACAGATTATGAAAAAGATGTTGTTTATGTGTACCAGTTCACTCGATGTCCGACTTTGCCGTCGGCGTCTCCTTTCTGTCTTAAAGTCGAAACTTGGTTGAGAATGACAGAAGTTAAATATGAGGTAAGTTATAATTTATAATTCTTTCTTAACATTCTCTAAGTTAGTCTGAAGAATTATTTTATTAGCATAAGTTTGTATATTTGAGGTCTGTGTTTAAAATGGCGCAATTCAGCATATAAATCACTGCTAGCTGCATAGTTTTTTGTATAACATCTTAACAGAAGATTTTCTTTTTATTACACTTAACTCCTTGTGAAACAAAATTATATTTTTCGCACATATTGTGAGTTATAATTATTAGGATGAAATGAAATGCTTGCCGTAAGATTCAAACTCCACAGTGATTGAGCATCGGTTATGTTAATCGGTTACTATTAAAATCTTAGCTTTAAATTAAGTTGAAGCAATAAATATTTTAAAGCAGTTTTATTTCGATTTTCAGACGAATTTAAATTATTGCTATTTCAGTAATTTGCTGTTAAAAGTAGTTAAATTAATTTTGACAGTCACCCAGAACGTAAACATGAATGTGTACCTTACTTTATTTTCATAAATGCCTATTAAACCTTTCAGGGACGGTGGAATAAAAATTGCACCATGTACATATGTTTGACAAAAATGTATATTATTAAAGTTGCAATAGATTTTGTCCCTTAAACAACGCAGTGTTTAATCAGTCGTTTTTAACTTGGGAAAAAGGCAAAACACTTCATAGTTCCCTTGTGTATGATGATCTGATCACAATTCTTGCGCCTTTACTAGACTTAATTCTTGATTAAGAATTTTCTTTCCTGTAAAGGACGAAAAACTATCATTAAATTTTATTTGTTGCATCTGTAGTTGTGAGAAAAAAAATTATCTTTTGGAATCTTAGATTATAATTACCCAATTATGTTTTTCATTTGTGTTCAGATTAATAAATTTAATGCCTTAAAATCTGTGATAATTTTGTTTCTAAGGAGAGTTTTGTCAATTTGTTTTAGTTTTGTTAGTCTTTTCAGAATGACTTAAACTCAAGGTATAATTGGAAAATATTACAAGTAACACTTATGCAGCTACTAAACATAACAGTTTAGAACAAAATTTCTAATTTTATGGATAATATGAGCTTATGTACCTTTTTGCTTATTTAATTTTTATTAACTTTAGATAAGATTTTAATCTTAAGTACGTATTTAAAAATTTGTGCTAATTACAGCTTGCCTAATTACTAGCTTTTCCTTTTCAGAAAAATGTATTAAAAAACCTTAATCTTTATTTTTTTTTTTTTTTTTTATTCCTTGCTCATCTGTGCAATATGAATCAAAGCATGCTTTGAGTCAAACAGGAAGTACAGTAACATGATATCAATTAGATTTTTTTTCTCTCCCTTAGATCTTTAGATTTAAGATCTTATGATTAGACGCTTGTGCTGGGAAATATTCAATTCAAAATCTGTTTTATTTAATGTAATTTTTGTTGCAGTAATTTACTAAAGTCAGATAATGACTTAAAAATAATCAGAACGAATGTTAATTTACTTGTAATATTTTAATTAGAATGCAGGTGATTAATATTTAGTTTGCATCATTGCAATTCCGTTTATAATTTTTAACTATGTGAATAAAAAATTTTGTGAGAATTTAGACTTGTAATCAAAGGATGTGATGAAAAAAATTTTTTGGGCGCCTAATCAACAAATCAATTTTAGCAATTAATTAAATTGAAACTTGTTTTCTATTTACATTTAATTAGTTGCTAAGTAATTTTATGTTGAAATTTCAGTTTTAGGAGCTAAGTTGACTGACTTATCCTGACAAATTATTCAACCATATGTTTAAGATTTTTGTTAGCCAATTGTGCATTTTTGCATTAAAGCATTAATTTTATAACATAAAATCATTAAGTGTTATGCTACCAATTCATGGAAACTTTCCAAACAACTTCATAAACAATATGTACATAAATTTTATGATAAAGACTTAGTTTTTAGAAATAGTTTTAACACAACTCCAATTTTCTTTTTTCACAAAATTTAAAAAATTCAGAATTAGCTCAAATCTAATTAATGGTCATGAAATAACTTTGATAGAGCCTTAATTGTAAGCATCTTAAATTAGCTGCTATATATATGTTTTAAAGCTAACTTTATTCCTATAAGTCTGTAAAAAAGATATTTAGAATAAAATAGTAGGTACAATTTGTATTTTCTGACAATCTACATTTTTTTATTTTAAGTTAATATAGATATTAACCGAAATTCTCTTTATAATTGTGTTGCAAATTTATTTTCAGAATGTTGATCATAAAATGAAATATAAATCTAAAAAGGGGCAGCTACCTTTTGTTGAAGTAAATGGAGTTGAAATTGCTGATTCAGATATTATCATTAAAGAGCTCAGTCAAATGTTTGGTAAAGATTTGGATGAACACTTGACATTAGATCAAAAGAATGTTAGTCATGCGTTTGTTTCCATGCTAAATAACCACACCAGTTGGTAAGGATATTATTATTATTATAAATCTTTAAACTTTAATTGGAAAGAATAATTGAAGTAGATATGTCTATACTTTTTTTTTTATCCATACATTCTCTAATTTTTCCATAGATGCTTATTATTTAAAGAAAATGAACTATTGATACTGGTTATGCTGGTATTGTGAGAAATAGATACCATATAGATTTTAATATAGGCAGTGTGTTTATAGGTTTTTATGGCCTTTAAAATGGATGTTTTATTTATTTTTCTTTAGGTTACATTGTTTTTTGAAGTTTATCATATATTTATTTGGTACTTTTACAAATTAACTATTTATCTGAAAAACTGGAAAATTTTAGTCTTTATAATTTCATGACAAATTTTCTCTTTAGGACTAAGTTAAAGTTAATAATAGGACTAAGAGTTAAAATGAAATATTTCTATTTTAACATGTATTTTTACTCCTTTGCTTAAATGGTAGGTACCTAGTTTATAAAGATGTTATGGTCAATTGAAGTCTAATTTTAAAATATATCAAGATTTCCAAAATTTTTATTTGGTTTGTTTTTGTCCTGCGTTTTATTATAAATGTTATCGGCTGTGTTTTATTTTCTTAGTATATATAAAATAATTTAATTGCTTGACTTTTAAAATCGAGTACCTACAACTTGAGAAAACCACTAATGTCAGCTGGTTGTGTATAAACAAGACAACATGTTAACCAGTGTTCATTCTAGACCTTAAAAAGGGCAGGGCACTAGAGGCTGGAATGGGTTCTGTTTCCCCATGAAGGCATTATTCATAAGTATTTACATAGATTTTAGACACCCAAAATATGTATGTGCCCTACGCTACTGAACTTAAATTGTACAATTGAAAAATACTGGAGAACCTGTGCACTAATGGCATTGGTGCTGTTGTTTGTAATAGTGTGTGGCATTTGCAAAATAATTTCTTAAAACAAAACTTTTTGTTTAAAAATAACAATGTTTAAAAATATTGTCATCCATATAGGGTTACATAAAGGATATAGTTTGTCAGAAAAGCTTTTAAAAATACATTGCTTTCTTAATAGCCGTGTCATAATAAAAGCGTTCATAAAAAAAATGTAAGCTAAGTTAAAAAAAATTTCAATTTTTAAACAATAAATTTAAACTTTAAAAATCTAAATTTATCTTTTCACGTTGCCATATCAAAAAATTGTCACTTTGTAATTGTTATGTACAATTGTTTAATACATTTCATCTCTTGTTAGGTATTTCATAGCATGAGATGAATTACTTCACTGTGTTGAAATCAGTATTGTAATAAAGACAGTTTTAGATACGAAAATGTCATTGTAGAAGCTGTTTCGTTTTTTCTGCATGAATGTACACTTTATTTGTTATGTTACTAGTTCATAAAGCGATTTTATTCTATTCTAACCAAATATCTTATTTTGATAAAAATTTAAATAGCTGCTTTACAAGTATGCCAAAAAAATTATCTAAATAAACAATGAAATTTCTTTTAGGGTTATGAGATGGTGGCGTTATAGTCACCCAGGAGAGTTCTTAAAAGCAGCTCAAATGGACATCAAAAGAACTTTGAACTCTAAGTTGCCCAAAGGACTTCTTCAGTTTTTCTTTAAACTCGGTTTCAAGAGTGTAAGCATTTTTGACTATTTGCATTTTTGTCATTATTCAGAAATTGGTCAGATAGCTTAATGTTTTTTCTTTTGCTTTAGAATATTAAGCGAACTATAGGCCATGGAGTTGGGCGTCATAATTCAGATGAAATCTATGAATTTGGAAAGAAAGATCTGAAAGCACTCAGCGAATATCTGGCTGAAAAACCATATTTCTTTGGAGAAGAACCACACTTGGTGAGAATTATTTGGTTATGTTTTATTTAGTTCTCAATAAAATCAAGACTTGCTACTTTCAAGGGTAAATATATATTTAATTTAAAAGACAATTATTTAGTAAGCTTGGTATTAATGAGGAAGTTGTTTTGGGAAAGAGTTAGTTATCAAAAGGATTTTTTTTTTAAGGTTCTTAAGAAAAAACTAAGTAATATAAATAAAACATGTATCAAGGCTATGTTGAAAAATTTTCCTCTTTTTTTGTGATTTTTTCATTTAATGGTTAACTGATCGAAATATCAGAAGATCTGATTATCTGAACTGTGAGATGTGATGAATTTTGCCACAAAACCTTAAAAGCTTCTTGGTGAATTTTTCTAACTTATTGATGTAAACAAATAGATCTGTATAATTGCAGGGGTCTGTCTAGGTTTTTCTGAGAGGTATTTTGTGAAAATTAAGAATTTTATTTAAAAAATCATCACATAAATATGGATTTATCGCTTCTTACGAGACGCAAAAATAACTTTTAAGAAAAAGTATCTCGTGAAACTACCGTTTTTCCTAAAGTAAGTTAAATTTGTAAAGGTACCACTAAACGGTAGTAAATTTGGCTTGGACAGACCCCTGAAATGTTTTCAGGATAAAGTTTTTAAAAGTGCTGACTAAGCTAATTTTTATTAATTGCATAGACGTAAAAAAGTTTTGTTCCACAACCTTATATTTATCATTTAAGAACTAATTTTGGATCCACTATATGAATCTTTCTAGCATTACTTAGTTAATGGTTTCAACCATAGAATGCACTAATAACAAAATTTTTCTGAATTGAAATTTTTTCACACCAATTGTTATTATTATAATATACATAACTTTTTTTTTTTTTCCAGTTGGATTGCGTTGCATTTTCCCACCTTTGCCAATTTGTATATGTGCCATTTGGAGGAATGAAAGAGTACCTCGAATCGGATTGCACAAATTTGCTGTCTTTTGTTGAACGCATGAAAGAGAGGTACTGGCCTGATTGGGAGGAGATCTGCAAAACCCTTGAAATGAACACTCATTTGCCCAAAAAGGAAGAAGAGCCTGCCAAGGAGGAAGAGAAAAAAGAAACTCCAGAGAAAGCAGATGATGCCACAACCGAGAAAGACGAAAAGCCAGAAAAGGATGAGAAAATTGAAACGAAGGAGGAAGAAGCAACAGAAAAGCCCAAAGAGGATAGCAACGAAACAAAAGAATGAACAAAATTTATTCATTGGACTTGAAACTTTTTTTTTGTTTTTCCAAAGAGATTGTTCTCTTCCCCCCTTTTTCAGTCAAAGCTTTAAGTGGATCAGTGTTGTGTCGTGCTTGTTCATCCGCAGCTGTTATTTTGTTGTAGCTCAAGATATATATATTCTTCATTCCATAATGCAATTTTTACAGGGTTGGTAAACTTTCATCAGGAATGGTAAAAACTGGCAAAAAAAAACAGGTTTTTAACAAAATAGTTAAACATCAACAAAAATTTATTTTTAGATTTTAGATATGGGACAAATTTTTATCTGTAGAAAATGAACTATCTTCCTAAAGGTAGTTAATAGCTCATTCTATTTTAAATTTTACCTATAATCAATTTTAAACTTGCATATTTGACTCCTTAACTGTTAAGTAACTTTGAGCTAATGTATACTTTGTGAAACCATATTTAGTGTATTGCATACTTCGTTGCGCATAAGCATAAGGTGCTAAGGGTTTTCTGTTTATCTCATTTTTACCAGTTTTTTCCTCCGTCTTGAAAAAGCCCTGGATTTTAATGACTGAACAGTTCTTGAATGCCCTTAATTTTTTTTTCTTTTCTACACTTAATTTTAGTATTAAAGTGACTAGGAAAAGATTCGACTGCTAAACGGTTGATCATTCCTCGATCCTATGCATGGATTTTTCCTGAGAAAAATCTTCGGCAGCTCTGGTGTGTTGCTCAAGTTTTTTGATGCTTAGGATGGGTTTTTTTATCCTTCATTCCTAAGCATTAATATTTGTTTTTACACTAGTCTTACATTTCCATTTTTGAGATGAAAATTTGCTCATGAATACTCAGTATTTTATTTTTATATTAATGATCATTTTTTTTTATCCTACTTAATTTAAAGCTTTATCTTATTGTCTAGCCCTTTTGGCCTTTTTGTAATCTACTTTTGATGAATTCTTTTTATACTGTATGCATTTTTTTGAACTTCAGCATTTGTGAATTAAAGAAGCGATTTTTTAGTGATATTTTAATATTTGTATGTCTTGTTTTTCATTTCTCGCATTTTTTTCTAACCTGCACACTAAATGTGGGCTGCCAAGGAATGCATTTTATTCTGTTGCATACTGTGTAACATGTTTTTTCATATCAATTTTAATGCAGTTTTACCTTTTAATGTGCATATTTGTCATACTTTTGCACCAGTCTGTGGAATGTTTTGTGTATACCCGACATAATTTTACAATTGTATACCTTTGTATCTTGTATTAATTGTTAATAAATAAAGCTTTACTGTGTAAATAGTTTGTTATTGTAGACAATTCTTTTTACATGTGAAGTTTTCATTTTTGACTTACCTTATAGTAACTTGGTTTTGTACCTTACTTTACAGCTTAAAGGAGAGATGCCAGGCTCAATATCTGGGAGCTACTATTTTCCTCTCTCCTCTGAAATTTTCGAAGAGTTTGATTGCGGAGAATATTTCTTACTTTAAAAAATACACTCAAAATAACCAATATTGGAAATAATGATAAGAATAAGTTTCAAAGTTAATAAAGCTAATATTTTCTGCAGGTATAAAAAGTGCAGCATGGTAAGTTTTTAAAATTTATCAACAAAAAAAACACTTTACAAAAATACTAATTGATACTTAATATTTTTCGTAAAACTACTCACTAGGCTTGTCATTATTTTTTTTAAAATTTCTTTACTGTTTAAATTTTGTCCTTGATCAGCAGTAAGCAGAATTTGTAAATAACTGAATTTTAATCATGATTAAGGTTTTCAGGAGCCATAAAAATTTCTTATGTGCCATTTTTCATAAATAAGTATTCCATAACTGATACTGTCTGGCTATAACACGATCTCATAGGACGAGAATTCATCTCTTGGCTGAATTGTTAGAGTAAATAAAGTATAACCACCGTACATTCCATATCCCGGTGTGATTTTTTTTTTTTCTTCTAATTTGCAGTGTTCCGCGAATCAATTTATATTAGGACAAAATTTTCTGAGTTTCGTTACTTACTCGAAATATTATTTACAAGACATACCGTCCTTGCCTAAAATCTTTTTTGTTGTCCGAAGTTCTTATTTACACACAATAACTTTTTATGCAGATGTTTTAGATAAAAACCGCAACTTCGATAAAACGAGACTGAAAAAGAAAATCCGCTGTAACTTCGGCTAGTATTTGTGAACTACTGAGGCTAACACAGAAGTATAAAATCGATAATTTTAAAAGTAATTCCGAAATAGCAACATTAAAATAATCGTTTACTAGAAAAAAAATTCTTTTTAATTTAAAATGAGTAGCAAATTCCGATTTGTAATAGACTAAGTATTTAATCAGTGTTATATATATTTGACCCCTTTTTTTCATTTGGTAAAAATTAGTTCTAATTTTTCATTTGATATCATGATATGAAACAGCGCATTTCAACACGTTCATTACTATCGGAAATTAATGTTCTGATGTCTTTTTTTTTTTTCTTTTGCAGTTAATGCAATTGATTTTCTCATGATTTTTAAAATTCCAATATTACGACGTGGAAAATTAAATTTGTGTATTTATTAGTCACTGACGCGAGAATACCACATTTATTACTACTGATATCTACGGTTTTTTTTTTTTTTTTAAGTCCTGATATGTGAAGAAACGCAAAATTCGAATCACTTATTAATTAGTGTAATTATGTTTTGATATAATCGATGTACGCTAAATCTATACGGCATTTCGGTCGTTTTTTTTTTTTTTTTGCAGTTATTGCTGTTGATTTTCATATTTTTTAAAATTCCAATATTACTAAACGCATGATTTTCTTTATGTAACTGCTTCACACAATTCTAAATGTTAAATAATAATCTACCTTAAAACTTACTCATAATGTTTAATCTTAAAACTATGCTGTCGAAATAATTAAACCATATATATAAAAAATGTCGGATAGGTGAATTAACTCTGTTGTGCGGGAATTTATATTTAAATCGGAAAATGAAATATTTAGTAAAAATATTGGTCTCTATATATTTCCCTTTTTTTAAACGGAATTTTTTGACGGCGCGGTGTTCCGTCAAAAAACACGTAGGTAAAATTCCGTGCATTTAAAATCCTCAGTCAAGAGCATTAATATTCAACTTACTCATATAAAATTTGTTAGCACATTATGCGTGATGTAGTTACATTTACCATTTATATAATGTATATCTCAAAAGTATTTGCGTTTTTTATTTTTATTTACTCTTAACAGTAATAGTTTAATTAAAAAATGTTCAGATGTATTTTACAATTTTTCCTATACCTCAATTCAAAACAGTTTTTCGAGATAAGTTTTTTATTCGCTGTAAAGTTCATAATTTTATTTGCTTTCATTGAAATGTATAGGAAGTGGAGCTAAGAACAGTAAAATATTGCTGATTTAAATTATGTAAGTTTTCCCATAAATTTAAAAAAAAATCTAACTTGAAGGAATAGTTAGTAGAAAACTCCCCTTCTTAACAAAAGCTAAAAACAGATTTTATATGGTTTAAATGAAAACTAGTTATAGCAGTTGAACTGTTGTAGTTCAGAAGTAACTGTTGAGGAAAGATCTATACAAAAGAACTTTTTTTTTACCGGTTGTGATTTTATTAAACATCACTTACATCTCTCTTACATACTTTGTACGTTATTTCATTATTAATTATCATGCAATTTTGTATAACTTACTGAAGACTTCGCTTTTTTTTTTCTAGTTCTGCGTAATTCGCGTAGATATTCAGCTTTTTTGCCAATCTTATATCTGAAAATATTTTAGTAAAATAAGTTTATAACTTTTATGATTCGCAAAGTTGATAAATATTATTATTTATCATGACAATGATAATTAAATTAAACTTAAATTATTATTATTTATAATGGCAATATTGACGTGTAGGAAATGGTGCTAAGAATAGTAAGCCGTATAAGTTTCTCATTAATTTAAAAAACAGCTATTTAAAATTTCAAGAAATTTTTACTTGAATACTCCTAACAAAAGCTTAGAACATGCTTTTTATATGGTTTAAGTGAAAACTAATAATTCAAGTGGGTGCATACATAAGCAATTGTTGTAAAAGAATTAATACAAAAGCGAAGATATTTTATTTTTTTCCTTTGCCTTTTTTCGATTTTTTATCCTTTGATTTTTTGTCACCACTTTTCTTTTTCTCTTTTTTAATTTGAACTGCAATGTCATCCGGCCTGTAAGGCAATTTTGTAATTATTTCCCACATATCCACAAAACCTTCTTCATCCGCCAAAGACGTTGAAATTTCTCGAGCCAGAGTCTTAGGCATTTCTAAGTCACTATCAATTAAACCATTAGCTAAAACAGTGGCTGTCATTCTCCTTTCTTTTACTTCATCCTCTTCTTTTTCCTTTGTTTCTTCCTCTTCAGGTGTTTCTTTCAAGTAAGATGAATGGATTTTTCTTAAAACATTCTTTAACGACATGCCTTTCTCATCGGCAAACTTCAGCGCCACTAACAATGCATTTGATCCATCGACAATACCTTCTTCAGGCTGAAATTGATCTCTAGGATGTATGTCGTATCGTATTTCTGATCCAAATAGAACTTTCATATCTCTTCCACTTTCAGAATAACTTCTATAAAATTTCAGGAAAGATAAATCTACTTTTATTCCAGAAAGATCTAAAAGTTTAAGATTTGCTCCCGCTGCTCTAAGTAAAACAGTTGCTGGTTTACCTTGAAATGGGTTGTGAGCAATTCGAAATATTTCCACCGTACTTCCTTTAAGACCTGGTGCAAGGGCCATGGCGCCTTTATTTGAAATGAAGTTGCTGCTGACATCAACCTCTTGAAGAGTTTTGCAAGCACGTAGACCGCGAGCTAAGGCATCCATGGCTGCATCGGGTATACCATTTCTAGAAACAGTCAAAATTCGAAGGTTAGATTTTTTCATGTTATTAAAAACACCAATCAATCCGTCTTCTATATGATTGCTGCTCAAATCGAGTTCTTCCAGAGAGCTACATTTGGCGATACAGGTACCGAATAAAGCTCCTGATATCATTCCGATATCATTTCGACTTAAATTTAACGTTTTTATTGTGTTGGTTAAAGGCAAAGCGTTTCCGATAGCAGCAAACTCTTCGTCACCCAAATTATTTCCAGATAAATCTAAAAATGTAACTGAATGGCTTTCCGACAATAAATTGCTTAATGATTCGCCAGTTTTCTTTCCAATTCCGTTATTGCTGAGATTTAAATGCATTATATGTTCGTTTTGGTTTAACAAAGAAGTTATTTCTGACAAGCTTTCGGGTCCGATGTTGTTGAAGGATAAATTTAATCGTTTGACTGATTTGCAATATACCAGTGCCTTTGTTACTGATATTATCTCATCTAATTCAAATCCATGATACGAAAAATCCATTTCTTCGTTGTTAATATTTGATAAAAATGTAGAGCTTTCAACAATTTTATAAATTTTGCATAATTCTGAATAGACAGCTGCGGGTTCTTTTTTTGTAGTGGTTAATTTCAGATCTTCAACTGTATCTAAATTACGAATGCGCTCTAGGATGGAATTAAGTTTTGTTTTGAAAAATTCCTCAGAATTTGTTTCATTTGTTGTTGACTTCTCTTTTTGTACACTTTCATTTATTTCTGTTTCCTCTGATGATTGTATTTCGACATTTTCATCCATAATTGTTTTTTTCCAGCTCTTCAAAATGAATCCAAGAAAAACAATTTTGTGTTAATACATTACTTTTCAGTTGTTATACTTGCTTGTGTTTACCATTGACTTTCAAAATTTAATCAAAAGAAGACTTCCTCAAGACTTCCAGTAAAATATACAGTATAGTTGAAATATTTAAAATTTTTATATTTTGTAAATAGGGTGTTCTGTATAATCAAGGCCCTGATCAAATGTTTTCAAAAAATACTGTCAAAATAGTACACACGTCATTGTCCAAGATTTGATGTTTAATCGATTTAAGAACAAAATTTGTCGACTGGCGACAAAAGTGAGATGAAAATTTTAAAAACCAATTTGATTGCCTGTTTAAACACGCGAGTGTTTACTAACAGTCACTTCACTACTCTTCACCAGTTTTTCAAGCAATCAAACAGGTTTTGGAGTTATAGTCATGACTTTAGTCAGTAGTGATTTATTAGATTTCGATAAAGTTTTCGTTTTTTCCTTGTCTTATTAAGACGAATATGTGGAGAGTTAAAAAATAAGACTCATATAATCCCCATTTGATCTTTTCTAGTTCTTCTTAGTTTTATTGTTTCCATACATACTAAGTTATAGGACTGACTTACAAGCTATGCTCATTAAGAAAGGTTTCTGTTCTATCAAACCTCTGCAAGCTTTGCTCTATAACAGGGTTTTTTAAACTTTGTGTGGGGGAGGGGGAACCCCATAAGTATTACGCAAACTCGAAAAACGGTTGAGGGAAATTGTCAGTTTCTTTACTTAGTTTTCAGTTAGTTAGTCAGTCTCTTCAATCAATTTTCTTACTTAGCTTAGCTGTTTTAGGTTTTTAATTTTAAAGCATAGTAACAATCAATATGAAAATTTTAATTAAATAAACATAAAAATATAATACAGTAATAAAAATGCATCGAAAAGTTTTCATTTTTCCTTTGTCTCATCTTTATCTATTTTCAGACACATTGTATAAAATATTTGGTAATTATAAAAACATTACAATACGTTAAAGAACTTGCTAAAATTTTGGTCGACCATGCTGCACATCCCTCGATCCCAATTGGAATTGGAGCTAACTGCTTAAGAAACTTTGCTCTACTAAATAATGTCATTGAAAACAAATATAAAGTTTTTCTTATTTTTTTTTAATTTTACATTTGCAGCTTAAACATTTAATTTAGGCTTTTATTCTATCTGTACAAATAAAAAGCTACAAAAAATCACCTAGATATTTTTTTTTCAGTTATACTAATGACTTTTTTACTATCGCTGTATGATAAAAATCTCTACTAAGTTTTCTACATGCCGTGTTTAACCTTATAGCCCTCAGACATTAACTGAACTTTACGATACGCATTCTTTCATTGTTTGTGATTTCTATTTTATCTGAAAAATCTTTGAAGGGAATAAATAAATAAAAAATTGTCCTTCTATCTTGTTCACTATTGTGACCTGAAATTACTGAGCAGATAATTTCATGGATCAGAAAGCTGAGCTTTTTTAAGTCTTTATCTGAAAGAATACACTCATAGTGTTGACGATTGTCATCGATTGTATTTGCTGTAGAAGTTAAAGATTGCGGTGATAAGATTAAACACCTGCTGAGAAAAATAGATTAAGAGAAGCATCAGAATATACACAAAGTGATAAGATGTTTGGGAAGGATATAATTGATGACAAATAGATGACTGATTCATCAAGTAAGAACATGGAAGATAATTGGGATAGATAATGATTTACTTAAGCTATCGATGGATTGTCTTATAAATGAATTGTGATGTATAACACTTTGGCGGCCAATCGTAAAAATTCCTTGTCTCTTAGTAGACCAATGCCTAGTCTCTTGACCAATGCCTGGATCACAAATCAGGAACTTAAAATGAATTATTATATTTGTTATGCAATTTAATAGCTTATAGGTAGCCGTGGAGTAGGCCTCCTAATGATGTCGACCAGGTTCGAATACCAGCGGTGTATGGTTGATACGAATTCTGATCCCGGTTCTCACCGACCACAGTGCTGACGTAAAAATATCCCCAGTGGAAGACGAATCATGGGTTAAATTCCCCGTGCCGTCGAGGTAGCCGTGGGATATTTTCGAGGTTTACCTCTTCGTGTAAAGCAAATGCGGGTTAGTTCCATCAAAAAGCCCTCCATCAAGGCAAATTTCTCCCAATGCTTGATCCAGGAGTTCTCTTGTCTTCTGGATTGGATTGAAAATTACAAGGCTACGGAGTTGAACATTAGCAGTCGTAAACCCTAAAAACTGGGTCGGCTGTTCAACAACGATTATAAAAGAAAAGAAAATATACAGATATTACAGAAATGCTTATAAAAACTAAGAGAATTTATGAATAAAATATTATATATTGGATAAAATACTACGAATAATATTTTATCCGCTACTATATATACTTCCATCAAAGAGTCCTCCACGAAGGCTTGTTTGTCCTAATTCTTGATCCAGAAGTTCTCTTGTCTTTCAAATTACAAAGCTACGGTGCTGAACAATGATAAACATATTCTTAAAACTAGGTCGGTTTTCAGCGCTGTTTATAACATAAAGAAACTTATAATTAGTTTAAAGTTCTGGCCAGTGGCGTAGCGAGGGGGGAGCAAGGGGGGGCATCATGGCCCGGGCGCTGCACACAAAGGGGCGCCAAATGGTCAGCAAAACAAAAAAAATTGTTGGATAATTTTTATTATAATTTATTTCTGGAATATATATTTTAAATTTGGTGCCGGTGAAATATAATAAATGTTAATTCGTAAATAAAAAGGAACACTAATCAAACTGTAATAATATATTCATAATAGAAATGACACGTCTTTTCTAATGGCAGGGCTGACTCGACCTGTGTCTGTCAGCACTTCCTTATGGCATCTACGCTGTGTGGTTACATATATTATCTCCAAATATTTGCAGTGTACAAAGTACAAACATCAGTGTACAAAGTGTTTGTATGTTTGTACAGTGTACAAAGTACAAACATTCTTTCTTTCAGAACACTATTTATTTTTGCTTCTATAAACGCAATGTAGCTTACGCTTGTTATTTTAAAACGATAACAATAGCACTCTAATGTACTTATATGTACAGTCACGGAAAAAAGTATCCCGAAAATAACAACT